AGTGACTTAATCTTTCACTGATGATCTGCAAGAAAGTTGTAATTTAATCAGATAAAAATACAAATTTTAGTTTTGGTAGGATTCAAACCTACACTAGTCATCTACCTATATGAGAGAGAGAGAATAATTTTTCGAATACCCTTATAAGGTCATGATATATTGTTGTTATAATTAAAAAATATTTTAGATATTAAAATAAATAAAACTATTATGAGGAAGGTGTGACATGGGTTTAGTCCCACATCAGTTGTATGCTAAGTTTTGAAGGAATATATAGTAATATCAGATCTAGAAGTAATAAGTTCCTTTCTCACATGTACAACCACATCTTGCCCCATAGCTAGTTGGCCATCAGTGACATGGAAGGGGAATGGCGCACATGTGCCCCCATCAGTCCATAGTTGCTTGAACATCTGCTCACTGCTCCCTTTGACTACACATTTGACGTACTTGTGGGCCCGATTGATTGGTGGGTTCCTTCTTTTTTCTATATTTTTATTTTACTTTCTTTTTCTTTATTTATCTCAAAAATAGGATTATAAAAATTATATAAATTCACATAAAATCACATAATTAGCCAAAATTTCACATCAATCAATTGAAAATCATTTTTCATAATTTAACATAGATATAAGTCTATTTATCATGAGTTAACACTAAAATTATATTATTTATTAATTATTAACTAATGATAATGAAGACTTATCAACTGAAAAAAAAATATAATAACTTTTAGATCTATACTAGCTTTTCACATGATGGAGATAAGTTGGATAGTAGTGGGATGTATTTTTAAGAAGTTTTATCCACAGGTCTACATAGCAAAATGAGGCTCTTTATCACATCTCGTATGTTCTTAGGAGGTGTTGACTTATCTTTGAGTAAATCATCTTCTTCTTGATGCTAACTAGTTTGTCGATCAATTGATATTCAATAAATCTATTATCTTTTTATATATAATCATTTGTCTATTGATAATGATGTTGTGTAAATCATGTTAAAGATATTTTTATTTATGATTGAGTGATTTTAGTGACTTAATTCTTGATTGACTCTATAAGAAAATGAAAATTTAGTCATATAAAAATATATATATTAGCTATAGTGAGATTCAAACCCTTACTAGTCACCTGCATATATGAGAGAGTTAAATAAACACATGAATACCCTTGTCAAGTGACATCATAAAGGTATCTCTTTCTTACCATTTAGTGGTAGGTTAGGTATAAAAATGTTAAAAATAGTTAAGGGCAAACGGTGGCCTAGATTTAGTCCCATATTAGCTACTTTATGAGTTTTGAAACAAATATATAATAATACATCTTTATATGATTAATATAGTTCACTCAAGAGAGAATTTTATATGGCCCAAGAAATATGATAGGGCTTCTTATTTGTCTTACATGCTACAAATCTCATTTTGGAAGGATAAAGTTAGATAGACTATGATTTACTTGAAACTCCAATGGATTGGAAGACAGTATGATCCACCTTACATCAATTGTTTTAAATGAAGTAGTCTTGATTGAAGAATGATAAGTCCTATTCTAGGACAATTCTACCCAATGTAACCAAGACTATTAATCCTTTGGCTGATTTAACACAAAACATTGTAGATAGGATTCTAAGGATCTGTTCATCACCTCAAATTATTCGTTGGATTGAGGGTGATAATGTTGTAATTTCATAGAAGAAATGTTTTGATGACGAAAAACATATCTAAATAACATCAATTTATGTATAAGTGCCTAAATATAATCTTAAATGTTTTGACAAGGTACATGATAATGAGTAAAATGCATAAACATGATTATGATCATGAATAATGAATATATAACTGAACATATACATGTATGTAAATATTTCATGACACACTCCATTGTATTACATGACCATGCTTATAGAACATATTATTGATTGATAAATTTGAGAGCATCAGTATAAAGCTTAAGTAGTAAATCATATGTAGACTATCTTATCGATGAGATGACTTTTCTATGTTTCATACAATGAGAGTGCACTAGAAGCTAAACTCTATTAAGTCTCCATACTAGTTACAATATTATGAATATTTAAAGAGTGACATGTCATAGCTTCAAATCAAGCACATTGAATAATTATTTTTGTAATCATGAATGTAGTTGGACATCGAATTATCATGAAACCTACTTTATTATCTGTAATCACACTTTTTTTATATAAGACCTTTTTTTATATAGTAGTCTACAAGCTAAATGAGGAGACCTAGTAAGACTTGAACATCTATGATAAATAATAAAGGATAAACATATAAGCTATTTTAGGGATATTTGATCTATAATACTGATATGTCATATTAGTCTCACCTAAGTATTTGAATTTATCTTATTTTAAGTATAAGGAGACATTGAAAAATCTAGGAAGATCTTGAAGATTTTACATACAAAGAGACATCTATAATATCACCTAATGACAACTTAAAAATAACAAGGACTATTTTTCTCTTTCATCTCTATCACAAGAAAAGTAATATTTTCCTTAGTAGATATTTAAAGCGAGATTGAAGGTCAAGTGTGTGATACAAGCAAATTCAAAATGATTTATGCAAAGGGAACCCTTGTATTAAAGATTCTCACTAACTGAAAAGTTGTTGAAGCATTCAATAGTCAAATGACATTCTAATGAGAAGAGAGCAATATTCATTCAATAGCTAGTCATCTCTACTTCATCGAATATCCAGAGCATTAAAGTTTAACATATAGCTTTAGGAAACCTATGGTGAATTATTTCATATTTCTTGTGACATAAATAATGGTTCTATATCTATTGTGATGCCTATCCCATGAATTATAGTGAGCCCTCTAGAGTTTTGAATCTAGAATATAGTTTTTGGTGAAACTCTATAAGAGTATATCCTAATAATCAGTGGATGTGATTGAATGATCTAAGATAGTAGAACACAAGGACACTAGTGTTCTTAGAGAGTGGATGTAATCAGTGTGTTGAACCACTATAAAACCATGTGAATAGAAGAAAATAGTGTGTCAAAAAGGGAAAAAGTTGATCTCTAGTTTAAATCTTGTATATCTCATAGGAAATGATTTAGAAAGAAAGGACAAGCTAAGATCAATTCAACCCCCCCTTTTTTATCATAGTGTAGATCAAAGCCCAATAGATAAGACAAGGACATTTGAAGTTGAGTTCCTACAATTTACATAGTTCATATCATAAGTACTTGTAAACATTTTGTCATAGTGAGAAATAATATATTTAGGTAGGCTGTGTAGAAACTTGTGCCACTTATGGTGCAGAAAATGAGTGTTTTAAAATAAAAAATGATTCTACTTGCTAAGCAATCAATCATGACCAAAATAATATTAAAGCCATCAGATCCTGATAAACCTTCAATAAAGTCCATCAAAAGGTCTTCTCATACGTGATGTGGAATGAGAAGTGATTGCAAAAGGCCTATTATGGACAAGGATAAGATCTTATTATTATGACAAACTTAGTATTTTTCAACATACTCTTTGAGAGACCTTTTGATATCCTTCCAAAATAATTACTTGTGTGTATAGGAACCCTCATAGCCTCTTAGTGATGAATCATTAACTTCTTATAATATGAAAGGGATTAATGTTGACGAAGATGATCTCATCAGCCAATTATTATGAAGTAGCATCCTATGATATAGGATAAAATGAGGATGAGCAGCTAAGTCACTGGTCAGTTCATCCATAATAATTTTAGCTTAGAATCTTCTAAGATTTCTTGTTGAACAAAAGCAAGGTCTAAAATTTGGGGTTGAGATATTGAAGTTTGTTATTAGCTCCCCCATCTTGGCACACAGGACAAGGCATTAATTGCAATATTCATGCGCCCTTCTTTATATCTGATAAAACAAATGAACCCTTATTTTTACCACTCTTTACCACTAGATGATATTGAACCACTTACTACTATTGAATCATCATCTTCCCCACTTATTTTTACTTCTTCTAGTGGAAATCTTCCACATATCTCTACCTAAGATCTACCTTTTGATTTATATATATATATTGCATTTTGTAAAGATCTATCTTCTCACTGATCAATTTTACAACTTTTGATCACTCACTAGAGTTTACAAAATAGTTTTTCCTTTCTTTTGACAGCCATCCTAAATCTTGTACTCATGCTGAGGTATTAAACCATCTTTCTTAGAAGGCTGCTATGAAAGAGGAGATGTCTGCTTTGCTTTCTGAGAATACTTGAATTTTTTTAATGAGATTTATGTTTTTGTTGAGAAAAAATCTATTTGACAATTACACAAGCCAACATTATCTTTTTAGTTGGTCTATTGAGTCAATTTATGCATGAGTCTTGTGAAGTTCACTGAATTGCAGTATGTCAAATACTTCAATATTTGAAGTCATCTCCTTGTAGTGGGCTCTACTTCAAAAAACATGATATTTTTAATATCATGAGATATTTTAATGCTAGTTATGCTGGCTTTCATGAGGATCAACATTCTATGACCAGATTATGTATATTTATAAGCGCTAATCTTGACATGTAACATGGTAAAAAAATTAGAGTGTTGTCTCTTATTCTAGTAATAAGCTTGAGTACAAAGCCATGGCACAATGCTTGTGAAATTTTTTGATAATATCTATTATATATAATTTGGTATCTTAGCCACTTTACTCATATTTATGTAATGTGACAATAGGATCTACTGTAACCCCTTTATTGCAAATAATCTAGTCTTTCATGAGCATATTGAACATATTGAAGTTGATTGTCCTTTCATTTGAGATACACTATTAATAGAGAAAATCTATACTCTGCATATCTCTATAGAGTATCAATAAGAACTAGTTAATTGGGTCAATTACAAACGTAAGTTTAATTGAGCCTAACCTATATGAGAGTTAGTTAAAGGGAAATTTTATCCTTAAGGTTTTGGTACAAATCTCTATGAATTACACTCTTGAACAAGCATCATATTATTTCATTCTCTTTTTCTGTCTCTTCTCTCT